AACCCAGTGTTTCCCAAACCAACTTGACCATAGAACTCTTTTTATGCCAATATCACGAGACATTAATGTTTAAGAGTCACTTTATAGAGAGCACTCGATAAAGAAAAAACAAGATAATGTTAAAAGAACAAGATAAAATTTTACTCAGTGTTTTCAAATTTCCTTCTAACTTGCCTTTCCAACTAATAGCAAGATTGGTAGTTTTTTATTGCAGAACTTACTTGAATTCTTTATCTGGCTTTGCACTTGGAATGCGAAAACAGTGGAAAATATGGGGAAAGTGATTAAAATATTGTGCCCACTGTCTCACATACACAAACGTAATTTAATTTTACATTTAGGCTCACCATTTATAATGATAAAATTTTTCAAAATACTTAAAATTTTGTGATGTTTCTTTGATATTTATTTTTAGTTCAAGAATAAAGTTTTTTCCTTTCTACCATTTGCCTTCCTTTGCTTTATCAGTAATTAAGTTCTTTCAGTCATTTGCTATTAGTCCCCTGATTTTAATTTTGTCTGCCTAAAGTAGGTTCACAATTGCCAAGTACATATAAATCTTATTGAAATTGAATGTTTAAAAAAGATCCCATAGTACTGTAGTCTTGTAATCTTTGCACTTCGTTTTAGCCTCTCGTCTGTCTCTGTGGGTCATTGATAAGGAACTTCTCTGCTGTAGGCCTTTCCAATATTTATGTAATGATTGCATTTTACCATTGTTAGAAGTACTAATCTCTTTTAAGTATCTGACCTTTGCAGTGTCCCTTAGGCTACTTCAATTGACCTTGGAGATGGGATGAATATGTAATGACAGGGTTGAGAAGATGTTTATCCCCGCAATTCTAGGGAAGCTGGGGAAGGCAAACTGTCCAGTTGTGGTTGCTCCCCAAGGCAGGAGCGAAGGACCAGCTAGAGTAGGGCTTTGTGTGGTGAGGCTGTTGGGCATGGGACAGGCAGTGAAGCTGGAGCCCAGGGAGAGGTAACTGCGGAGACTCTTGCAGCATGAGCACCTCCATGACCCTGTCAGTAAACTCAAGACACTTCAGAGAAGTCAGGCTCAAAACAGATTGATTCCTTTGAAGTTGCAAAGCGAAACAGCCAGCAAAGATGGCTAAAGAGTGAGAAAAACAGAGGGAGTTAGTTTGGGAATTCATCCATTTGATTTGGGTCCTGAATTCTTACAAATGATGGGATTGGGACTTTGAGTCCCGTTTACTTAGAGATCCACAGTATGATGAACTCCCATGTGTTATCTGAGTTAGAGGTGACTTAAGCTTGGTCTGTTTATAAAATAAAAAGAAGTAGATTGAGACCATAGCTTTGCTTCTGGCATGAAATGACTGAAGTTATGAAGGTATTTGAAAAATTTTGGCAAAAGCATGCATTGGATTCTTGGATAAAGTATTTTAGCAATTGGTTGGAATGAATTTCTGAAGTTAAGCAGCTACTTGTGTTTATATGAACGAATGGAAAGGTGCTAATTGTCCATGTCCTTTTGGAAAAGGTTTAGCAGGTAGGGAAGTTTCAAAAAGACGTTTAAATATCACATCAGTTATATTCATGTCAGCAGTTATTTTAAGTGGCAAAAATATATAGAATTTATTCAGTGGCTCTTTTTTCTTTTTTAATTTATTTATATCAACTCACCTTTTAGTATTTGAATCATTGTGCTAGCAGTGGGACAAAATCCAGGCAGCTGGTGTTAAAGCCCTGTGTGAATGGGGAATGAGTTTATACTTGTCATTGCATGGGGCAGAAGTAATTAGGGGGCCTGCGGGAAACTCGTTTGTTCCTTTAATAAGTTTGTACCCAAGGAAGGTTGCTGCCACTGCTGCTAAGTCACTTCAGTCGTGTCCAACTCTGTGCGACCCCATAGATGGCAGCCCACCAGGCTCCGCCGTCCCTGGGATTCTCCAGGCAAGAACACTGGAGTGGGTTGCCATTTCCTTCTCCAATGCGTGAAAGTGAAAAGTGAAAGTGAAGTTGCTCAATCGTGTCCGACTCTTAGTGACCCCATGGACTGCAGCCCACCAGGCTCCGCCGTCCCTGGGATTCTCCAGGCAAGAACACTGGAGTGGGTTGCCATTTCCTTCTCCAATGCGTGAAAGTGAAAAGTGAAAGTGAAGTTGCTCAATCGTGTCCGACTCTTAGTGACCCCATGGACTGCAGCCCACCAGGCTCCTCCATCCATGGGATTTTCCAGGCAAGAGTACTGGAGTGGGTTGCCATTGCCTTCTTCGCAAGGAAACTTGGGAAAACCCAATCTTACAATCTGGTTGGATCATTAGGTGATGATAGTTTTAAAAAATATATTCGATTTCCTGTGACCAGGTGTCTATGTGAAAAGTAAAAGAATGCAGATGTTTATGTAAAGAATAGAGTGAATACCAGTCCAAGAAAAGTTTGAGGAGATTTACTTTATTTTCAAGTTTAAATGCTTCTTTTTCCCCTGTATTTTTGGAAATCTAGGTAATATATGTAATTAAATTACTTTGTGAAAATTCAATTTAATATGTCAATTCCACCTTATTTTTGGGTGTTCTTGGTAAAACATGAAGATGTCTCTGTCACAGAGTAGTCGTCAGCAGCCACCATTTCTTGTCAGTGACAATGCCAGCATGTTGGTCCTATCTGATACACTTAGTGCTTCAGTTGCTGACAGAGAGATATATTGAGGAAGGTGGTAGTTGGGGCAAGGGAGGAGGAGCCTGGGGCTTCCCAGGTAGCTCAGCTGGAAAAGAATCCGCCTGCAATGCAGGAGACCTGGGTTCGATCCCTGGAGAAGGAAATGGCAACCCACTCCAGTATTCTTGCCTGGAGAATTCCATGGACTGAGGAGCCTGGCAGGCTACAGTCCACAGGGTTGCAAGAGTTGGACACGACTTGGTGACTAACCACCAGAGGGAACCTGTCTTATACTGGCTTTTTTTTTTTTTTTTCCCACAAGACATGCTACATCTTACTTCCCTAATTGGGCATAGAACCCATGCCTCCTGCAGTGGAAGCACAGAGTCTTAACCACTGGACCACCAGGGAAGTCCCATGTACTGACTTTATCTTATTTATCCTGATACACAGCCAGAAACGAATTATCTTAAAATTAATGACCTGTGCATTATATATTGGATAATCCAGTGACTGTTATATAAGAAACTCTTAATAGTGGTTGCCTTTGGGGAGGGGAATTGGGGACAATGGTGAGGGGAGATTTAGTTTTCGTTGTGTAACCACTTTGGTAACTTTTGGTGTTTTTACCATGTGTATGTATTTAAAAAGGAAAAGTGAAAGAAGGAAAATCCTCCTCTCAGCATCCCCATCTCCTGACAGGACGCTTGGTCTCCCTGTTGCCTCCAGGGAGCTTCTGTGATCCCTCTGCACCCCTTTACCACCGACTCCCCTCTGGTTTCTTTTGCTCTTGAGGCAGACACGCTCTGAATTCATTGCCTTTTCTTACTCATCTCTAGTTTTTAAGCCCTTACTCCTTTCATGAAAGCTACTGAAGATTTCTCCCCATGAAATGCAGTGACCTCTTTTCAAACCCCGTGACCTTTCTGGGCCACTTGAGACTCGCCCTCTCCCCAGCCTCTCTGACACCATTGTCTCCGTCCAAATTGACCTTTCTCACTCCACCTTCATGAGCATCTTCATTGTGATCCCATCATTATCTGTGCTCTCTCCCTGAGCAGACTGTTCTACATTCTCGGGTAAAATCATCTATACCAGCAGACACGACCTCTCTCCTCAGCCAGCCCTTGATATTAACTGGCCCACAAGGCGTGTGGAGTTCCGGCGCCTCAAAATCAAAATAGCGTGAGCTATCGTCCACTCCTTTGCCATCCAAATCCCCAGTTCTTTCCACTTGCTATGTTTTAGTACTTTGCTGCACCCAGCCCAGAAACCTAGACTTGCCTAAGTACCTTCCTCCACCTCACGAAGTTTGGAATTACAGGTTGTCTTGCTGTAACATGCATAGATTGGTTCTGTTTCCATCACACTGTTTCATTTTGCAAATAAACTCCTAAATTGGGCAGACTCATTCTGGGTGGACTTGGGAGAAATTTCCTGCATATAAATGTTCTGTCCTTGCTAAAAGGATGTGTGAAGGGGGAGAAATCATTTCAGTTATTCCTCTGTATTGAGAATTTTGTGTTTATGAATCCATGGAAACCTTATTCCACGGGCATTTCTGCATTTGTGACTTGAGTTTGATTTTTATTTGAAAGTAAATTAGCAATTATGTAACTTCACAGAGCTTGTGGTTTATTATTATTTTAGTGTGGACACTGTATTTTGCTTGGTTTTCTATTAAGTCACTTAAAAAAATAGTATCTTTTCCTGTATAATTCAAATTACATCTATATTGTCTCTGTTTCTTATGTATTAAAATATATAAGTATAAAATAGATATTGTATATGCATAAAATAGATAAGGAACTACCAGATTAAAATAATTGTTAAAATTAATTGCATACCTAGTATATGGCACTTTACATCTGTCATGACATTTAATTTCTTTCACCCAATAGCTTGATGCAAAAGGGAGTAAGTTGCCTAGATTACACTGCAGTGATGGTGTGGCCCCTCCTCGAAGCCCCTCTTTAGATTCTGTCATTTAAGTGTGGCCTGTATGTCCCTGAGAACATACAGTTGGGAACTCGGTTTGTGCGTGTCTTCCTTTTGGGGAGCTGGTCTCCATGGTCGGTGTTTCCCTGCCCTGGCGCACACACTGTTGGCAGAGAGCACTTGGTGCTCCCGTGCCACCGCTGAGCACTCGTGGTCACGGGTGATGCAGGAAAAGGCAGTAGAGTGGATGGTGCTGAAATTTACATGGAACTTACATCTTGTAATCCTATCAAGACATAATTGTTCTTTTTTCTTTTTTTTAATGTGTTAACAATGAGTTCTCTGCTTGCTTGAATTTTTGGTACCTAGAAGGTAGCTATCATCTGAAAAATGTTATGGTCTGTAATTTATATTCTCTCATTTTTTTTCTCTCTTAGTGCAGTGAAACCTCATTCTTTTTTGAAGCTCGAAGTAAAACTGCTTGCAAGCATCTTTGGAAGTGTAGTGTAGAATATCATACATTTTTTAGGTATGTTCCTTTGCCTAATAAATGAAAATTGTGTTTGCTTTTATAACAAGAATTCTATCCTTAGAAGAAATTTAGAAGTGTTTCTCTTCTATTAACTTTTTTACATGCACATGTATGTAGATTTTTGTTTGTTTGTTTGTTTGCTCATACTACAAGAAAGGATCAAGGATGATTGCTTTTTAGATTTATGTAAAAGATAGCTTTGGTATTGGTGGGAGTTAAGTGTTCTGCTGTGGACACACCAAAATTGAAATGCTTAGCCTGGAAATATGGAATGGGTGGCTGGGTATGCAAAGCTTACAGAAAAGACCAAGGTTGGTCATGTAAATTTTGTAGGTAATAAGCCAAAGGGATGAGGTCACCTGTGGAAACAGTAGAGAGGAAAGGGACCGCGCTGTGGGACCTTCCCAGCACTTAGAGGACGGGCGCGTGGGGAAATGGGAAGTAAGGGAGGCAGATGTTGTGATGAATGAGGAGCTGGCATCCGCCTGTGTGCTCCTGGGAGGTCACTTAAGATGCAGATAGAGAACTGACCACTGGGTCGTGTCGTTACTGTTTGTTTCACATTCTTATGGTGTAAAGATAAAATTAAATTTTATCAGGTAATATTATACATTAAACTATTTTTGGTTTTCAAATTTAAAACTAGATTAATTCTTCCCCTTTTTCCTTTTTGATTTACATAGAACATTTTTTCCCAAATAATACTATGCTAGAGGAGTAGTATTATAAAATGATCCACATCTTTTGAGGAGTTTGTATGCAGAAAGGGATGTAGCCCAGAACGTGTGAGACATTACCTGTCCATCACTGGGGCTGGGCCAAGAAACTCCACTTGGAGCTGTGTGTTGAATGTACGAAGTACGTTGAACTATGTTGAAAGTTGAACTAAGTATGTTGAAAGTATGAAGAAGAGTGAACCATGACATTAGATATGATTAACTGCCATGAGAACCTTGGCTTGGGTTGATGAACATAGTGACAAAGTTCCGAAGAGAATTTAAGTAGAGAAATTAAATTTATTCGCAGCAAAAGCTTCCTTGTAAGGGTGATGATATATTTGTCTTCAGGAAGTATGAGTATTTTGATATTATACTTGTATAAAATACTAGAATGTGGTGGTTGTTTCAACAATTAGCTTTGAAATTATCAATTACTATTTTTTGCCAATATATAGACTGAGTAAAATATTTCAAATATGTGTTAAGCAGTATTGCACTATTATGTATTTCTGTGTAGTTTTTGCTCAAGTGTTACATAAGTATATTTGTAAGTCTTTTTCTAATTTTCTTTTAAAAATTCATTAGAATGCCAGAAAATGAATCAAATTCATTGTCAAGAAAACTCAGCAAGTTTGGATCCATGAGTTATAAGCACCGGTATAGGTAAATGGCATTTTTTTCCTCTGGGGTGTGTGGATGTGTATATGAATGTATATTTAACCATCCAGATGCATGCATACATATTAAAGTTTGTGATCTGATTTTTTTTCCTGATTTTTTTCCACAATGCCAATGATTTTGATAGGCAATAACAGTTTATTAAACTTTCTTGACAAAAAATGATTTTCTAGGTTTAATGATTATTTAGAGAGTACATTAGCTTGATTAAGTATAGAGTTTTTAGAATGTAGTAGAGCTTACTATCTTCAGAAATTCATTTTGATCCAGTTATCAGTTATCGCCAATTATGTTGTGATTATGAAACAAAGCAGATGTTCTGAATAGTAGTTTATTGGCATCCTTAGGATATTCAGTTGATTCTCTGTTGTAAATACAATCTGTATATCATGGGTCAAATGTTTTCTGTAGTATAATGCCTACAATATAGTAATGCTAGCAAGTATATGTTAACTTTATGGAGCAGTATCAAGTGCCATGTACTGTGCTGAATGTATCCTATTTATTGCTTCTTTAATCACTGCAGTCTTCCTGATGTTTTCCTCATACTGTGTGAGGAAACTGAGGCTCAGAGACAAGTCACTTTTCAGAGAAACCAGCCAGGAAGCATTGACGTTGGGCTCACTATCTGGCAGTCTAACTCCAGACAGAGCCCGTGTCTGCACCGGTTAGTCAGACTGTTAGCACGTTGCAGGGAAGCCTGATTGTCAAGCAGTCAGGCAGGAGCTTGTGAAAATGGAAAATTTCTATCTTTTGAAAAAGATTTGCTTTGTTTCAATTCATTCTATTAACTGGAGAGCCTGTGATGTCGAAGGCAGGATAATAGGTGCCCAGAGCTGCAGAGAGTAAGATTTCGCCACCTCTGCCTTCGGCTTCCCTGTGGCTCAGACGTAAGGAGTCTGCCTGCAATGTGGGAGACCTGGGCTCGATCCCTGGGCTGGGAAGGTCCCCTGGAGGAGGGCGTGGCCACCCACTCCAGTGTTCTTGCCTGGAGAATCGCACGGACAGAGACTGTAGACTGGCAGGCTACATGGGGTCACAAAGAGTCGGACACGACTGAGCAGCTAACACCTCTGCCTTGAGAGAGCTACAGTGTTACGCAGGCAGTGAGATGGTCCCAGGCCCTCTAAAACCCAAGCAGGGTGCAGAAATGGGACTTGGGAGGCAGGACACTGTTCTGTCAGTCCATTTGAGACATCTCCAAGTGAAATGCTTAGGAGATTTAAAAATCAAACTGGGTCAAGTGTTTATAAGATATGCCAGATTTTAATTCCTTTCTTTTATGAACCACTTTTAAAAAGAATCTTGCTTTGAAACCAGGGATAATCAATAAAGGAGTGATTAATATTAAATGTTCAGTGCATTAATCTTTACATATTCACTTGGATGTTTTCTCATTCGCTGACTTAACATTTAAGTATTATTATATTATAGATGTTCTTGGTATTTGTAGGAAAATATTTATTGAAATCTAAAAATTTAAACTTTAAGTTATCAAGGTTTTTCCCTAGATAGTGATATAATTACAGGAATTTAAGGAAAGGAAAACAGCTCATAGTCAGTATTTGGGCTGTTCTTCCCATTGGGACATAACACATTTCAAGGGCTATCGAGTGAATGTGTACACCTGTCTCTTTGTCACTGAATGAAGCCAGTGATAAAGCATCTGTCTTAATATTCACAATGTCAAAATTGTAATTATGCTGTTTAACATACACTGTAGCTGGTTTCCACAAATTTACCACACCTGATTTTTCAAATTTATTGAAATGCAAATGCTGTCACTCTGGGAATTACTATTAGGAAGTTATTGGATTTTGCATATTAAATATAATTTCTTCCACAAAAATAATTAAAGGTAACCTTTGCAAATTGAAAGCTCTGCTAAATCTGTTCTTATTTTATGGCCAGTGTTAACTGCTTAGTAAATCTTAATGAAATTCAAGTCTCAGTGTCTGTATGTAAGAAGCACCAACATTATGCATTTCTTGGAAGAAGGTTGTTTCATCCCACTACCCAGAGTCAGGCTTAGGCAGGGATGGGTCTCTGACTACTGGGTGGTCACCGGTACGTGACTGTTAATTATCAAAAGTAATAACGGCCAACCTTTAAAAAACACCGTATGCCCGTGCCTTTGTTTTGAGACGTTCTGGAGACATCCTAGAATGAAGGAAGAACTCTGGAGACAGAAAGCTCCTTCCTTTACCCTGGAGGCTTTTAGAGCATGGGGGATGGTGAACGGCATAACCAGTGTCTGTGGTGTGTGAGTGTAACTGCCTCTGTGTGTAGCTCTACCTGTGTTTACAGTGGGGTGTGTATGTGTAGGAGTGTATGACAGAGAAAGACAGAGTTCTAGTCTTTACTTTCTCTTTTGCATCTTAGGGCTTGCACAATACCAAGGAGAGTCCAACATCTTTGAGAAAAACTAGTCATTACTTTAGAGGGGAAAACTTGATTTTAGTGGTATGTGACAGGCAATCCTTTCAGAAATTCAAAATTAAATTTTTGGGAAAAGATTGGGCTGAAATCTGACAGTCAAAGTCGTTTATTGCTTTATTATCAGATACCAGTAATCTGAATAGAGATTGATTAAGTCTTTGGTTAAATATTTTGTTATTTACTGCTCTCTCTTTCTCTGAGCCCCTTAAAAGCTAATCTTGCCTCTACCTGTTGTAAGTTTGTAGAGGACTCCTGGTTTGGATGAATGAATGAGTTCTGTAGAACTTATACTCTCGAAATGAGACTTAGACCTGAGAACCACCCCCCGCCCCCCAGAACCCTGATAACCTTCTTGCCACAGTTTTTGAAGTGTGAAAGAGATCCAGTTCTCCTGAGAACTCACTTTGTGTCAAGTGCTTTCATGTGTGTTACTTGATTAAATACACTCAATGACCTGCCCAAGGGGACTTATCCTCATTTGTATAGACAAGACATTTGAGCCCCCCCAGTCTAAGGTAACTGGACTAAAGCCCTTTAGCTAGTGAGCAGCAGAGTTGAGATTCGAGCCCAGGCGTCTTCTTCACTTGCCTCTACCCAACCAATGGCTGTTTGTAGCCTCACTCTGGAACTGAGGCAGGCTGCTGGCAGGGCCTCCCAGCACGGAATGGAAGTATGTGTGCCCCAGGGCGAGGGGCGGGCAAGTGGGTGGCACGGGGGCAAAGCTCTGTCCTGTCACGGTGGACAGCCACTAGGTATGTAGGAACGCTTATACCAGCTCTGAAAATCTGCATTTGCCCTGTGCTTTTTGTTGCAAGGAAGTACTAAGAATACCATACAGGAGTATTTCTGCTAGGAAATAATATGAACAATGGAAATACAGACGAGGAAAATGAGGTTCTAGGAGATTGACGAAATAGCCTCCTGAAGGCCACACGTTTCTGGTAGAGCTGAGCTTTGAACAGGCTTGTAGCTTTAAAGTAAATGGCTGTGTGCGGTGTCCCTTCTCCTGAGCTGCCAGGCTGTGCCACCCTGGCCAGCTGGAGGGTAGAAAGCTTATTCCAGTCCTGGGTCCTGTGCAGCCTCTGCCAGGTCAGCTTTTGTCCCTGGACTTCAGTTTTACTAGTCTTGTGATATGATTTTCTCATTTCTCCTTTATTCCTGAGAGACAAGCCGTGAGGAAAAATTGAATAATAAAGTAAAATCTCACTATCAAATGCCTCAGTAGTCCACATATTAGGTTATGTTTTTAGGGCAAATATTTTTTCCTCCATGCCATGAAGTGCAGACTATCTAAGTCTTAGATTAAGTCTGTTGCAAGGAGATCTTATCTTCATATTCCAAATCATTTATAATAATGGAATTTTGCTCTCTATACAGAATTTTGAAAAGATTTTCAGGGGAGAGGTGGTGTTATTTGTATTACCTTATGTACTACCTTTAGAATAGCTAAAACTGTTGAAAGTTCTCAAATAATTTTTTGAAATATATTTACTTGTATTTAGTTAGTAATTATGTAAATTTTTATGTGATTGTCATTGTTCTGGAAAATTTAGAAACATTCATACTTAAAATTCATAATAAGCCTATAAAGTGGTCATTGGTATTATTGTTGCTTTAGTAATGAGGAAGCTAAGATACAGAGAGTTTGAGTAATGTTTCCCGGGGTCAGAGAGGTAGGATATGACATAGCTGGAATTTGAACCCACTGTCCAGAGCTTCTTATTAACGATATATTAATATGTAAAAACAGCAAAATTAAAGTTGATAAATGATCTTTTCTTATCAAATAACATTATTAGATTTCTATATAATACATTTTCATTATTTATGCAGGGAAATATAGTTAAATTTCAAGTGAAAGCAAACCTCTTAACTCTTTGCCCCTCACCTTGCTGCCCTCCGCCCGGTTTTGATGAAGTCTTGAGTGTGGAGTGTATACACTCATGGATAGAGACTGTCATTTTCACTCCACATAGTACGCCATATCCCCAGTTAGCCTGACGAGACATTGCTTCTTATGAGTGTTTCAGGCCTCTATTGCTTATAAAAATGGATGGGGTGGTAAGGAGGGGAATTTCCGCAGACGCACGCAGGAGGTGCACTTGGCTCTTTTCGGTCTCGTTTGGTCTCTTGGGGAGAGATCCACCAACGTGCGTCCTGTGCTGCTGAGGCGCTTCCGCCGTGGCCGACTCTGGGCGACCCCACAGGCGGCAGCCCACCAGGCTGCGCCGTCCCTGGGGTTCTCCAGGCAGGAACACTGCAGCGGGCTGCCACGAATCCTGTAAATGTAGGATAAATAGGTTGAGGCCATTAAAAGACTTTTTCCCATTAGATGGTGCTTCTTATAGTGAATCAAAGTAGTCACTTAGAAATGCATTTTCTCTGTACCTAAATGACACTTCCCTTGAAATCCAAGAGTCATTTATTGGTTCAAATTCAACAGCTGTGGAATAAATTTTTAGTAGAATGAATGTTGACTAAAATTCAGCAAATTAAATTACAAGGTTCCTTAAGAAGTTTAGTTTATCCCCAGGGAAAGCTCACACTGTTGCCTCCTCATAGACCCATAAGGAAGTAGTGCTGTGCCGGGGGATTCTGGCTGCTCTGAATCTTCCTGGGTACTTGCTGGCACCGGTGGGGTGGGCAGAATCAGTGGCTGGTTGTGTCACAGGGTTCAGAGTACAGTCTCACCAAGTGGCCCAGTGGGAGAGGCTCTCCGACCTGCCTCGTAAGTACAGCACGAGGACGTGTCGATTCATGTGGAATCTTTGCCCTCAGGGCTTGAACCCAGCACAGTTTTATTATTTAGTTCTAGAGCTGACAACGTCAGCATCCTCAGTTTCTAGCCCGTCATTCTACTTAAATCCAAACCTGATTCCTCCTTTAGTAAATTCTTTCTTTCTTGGTTGTCTCTCTGAAAAATCTTCCTTATGTCAGCTGAGGGGAAAAAAAAAGTGCAACATGAGAGCTGTGAGTCAAGCTTTATTTGGTGCTTGTAGAGAGAGGACTGGAGGCTGAGCGATGGTCTTTCAGATAGCTCTGAGGACCTGCCCCTCAGGGAATGTGTGCAATCAAACACTCACCTCTGTAGAAGCTTGCTGCTAGTCACGAGGAGCAGATGTCTCCATTAATGATCGTAGTGCTTTTCTAGGTTTGAGAAGATGCAAGCGATCAAGTTCATAAAATATTCTCCTGGAAATGTCTATCTGAAGGCCTGTTCTGCCATTTTTTCCCAGAGCACAGAGTGCCTCAGTCCCAGTCTCTGTCCCGAATCCCTTTCAGAGTATGTTGACGGTCAGCAACTTTAGTGGCTAGTGGCTTCATTCTTGCAGAACCAGATGGTGGGTGACATTCTTTAGCTGGCACTTGTATCTCACCTAAATCTTTCCTGTTGGTCTTTGTTACTTCCTTGCTTAACATTGCAATGAGAATCATTTGAAGGTCCTGTATAATCTACGTGAGTCTGTTTTTTTTTTTCTTTCTTTCTCTCCATACACTGCAGATATTCTTTATGAGCTGTACTTTAATTTTGTGGCTGTGTGGTCTTAACCTGTGTTACTCAAAATGTTGTATTTTCAAGTGGCAGGACAGCACTACAGATGAGTCGAGATCTTTCTATTCAACTTCCCCGGCCCGATCAGAATGTGTCAAGAAGTCGAAGCAAGACTTACCCTAAGAGAATAGCACAAACACAGCCAGCTGGTAAGTCACAGAGCCCCCAACTCATCAGTGTAACCTTGCATTTCCTTTTAGGCATATACTTAAGTGGTGACTGTAGCCTTGAAAGGTTTTAACTGTTAACACTAGAGTTTTCAATTTGACCCAGAAAATGTCCAAGCAATCAGAAATTATTCATAAGTTGACAGGTAATCAGTTTGAATCACTGTAACTTGATTAATGACTATACAAAATAATTCATTTTTTGAAGGGGTTAATAAAATCACAACTGAGCGATTTCTTAGTTTGGTGTAGCTGAGATTAGAATTAAAACAAAGTCTTAGCAAAATTCATTAAAACAATACTGCTGGTGTAACAGTCTGTGAACAATTCAATTGGTTTTCTATTGTCATTGGTTTCATTATGCAGTATAATAAAGTGCATAAAATATACAAACATATATATATACCTATGCACATAAACATAGATGTGAATATATGTATGAGGGCTTCCCAGGTAGTTCAGTGGTCAAGAATCCACCTGCCAATGCAGGAGACTCAGGAGATGCGGGTTCTGTCCTTGGGTCGGGAAGATCCCTTGGAGGAGGAAATAGCAACCTATTCTAGTATTCTAGCCTGGAAAATTCCACGGACAGAGGGGCCTGGTAGGCTGCAATCCATGGCGTCGCAAAGAGTCAGATATGACTGAGCATTACACATACATATGTGTGTGAAACTGAAAATCACTCAGTCGTGTCCAACTCTTTGTGACCCCGTGGGCTATACAGTCCATAGGATTCTCCAGGCCAGAATGCTGAAGTGGGTAGCCGTTCCCTTCTCCAGGGGATCTTTGCAACCCCGGGATCGACCCCAGGTCTCCCACATTGTAGGTGGACTCTTTACCAGCTGAGCCACCAGGGAAGCCCAGGAATACTGGGGTGGGTAGCCTATCCCTTCTCCAGGGGACCTTCCCAACCCAGTAATAGAACTGGGATCTCCTGCGTTGCAGGTGGATTCTTTACCAGCTGAGCTACCAGGGAATCCCCACATATGTGTATATATATATGCGTACACGTGCACACGCACACAGTTTAACCTAGTCTGTAGCCCCAGAAGTCCCTGCTATTTGCTTGATCACATCCTCACCATCTCCTCTTGTCCCAGCCGGCAAAAAACCTCATCTGACTTTTTGATAATTATTTCCCTACTTTTCACTATATTTTTACTGCTTATGTAGCCTTCTCTGAACAAAGTAGTTTATTTTGCCTGTTTTAAAAGTGTAATATAAATGAATCGAGGGTGTTCTTTTAAAGTGCATTCATTTTTCTTGTAGTGAGTTTTTTTTTTCCTCTTTTTTTTGTAGTGAGTTTTCTGTTGTATGACAACTTCTTTATTCATTCTACTGTTGATGTACATTGGGTTATTCAGGTTTTTTTTGTTTTTAATGCACACCACTTCTTAATAAAGCCACTTAATCCATCAGTTTTAACCTGTGTTCATTGCTCAGAGCTCACAGATTTTATTCTGTAAAGTGATAGTACTGACTTTAGTTTGTGGTTTCTTACAGATCACCCTTGTCTAACACTCTCCACAGGCTTTTCACATATATTATTTCACTTGAGCCTCACAGTAATCCTGGAAGGGAGGGCATGGCAAAGTCTGTGTTTGCATTTTACAGATGAGAAAGAACTGGTCCCAGTAGCTAGACAGGAGTGAGGCTGGGATGAGAGCCCAGATCTCCTGGGTCTTTTTGCCATATTGTATGAAATGAATGGAACTTTTAATAACAGTAATTAACGTCTGAACATTGTATGACAGCTGGCAAAGCATTATGACAGCTGTTGTTTCTTTTAATCCTCGTACCAAGCCTATGAGGAACATGTTTAAGTTTGCTCCACTGCTGCTGGCTGTGAGAATGTCACCTGACTTATTTAGAGTTTCTAGAGTGAAATTAAATCTGATTGTAGGTCCCCTCCTCTCACTGGGCTGAGCGGAAATTAAATTCTTTCTGATGTTTCTACAGTGGCAAAAATTAGACATGATTTAATTTTACAATAGATTACCGTGCCACATAAGTAATATCATTATCCTCATTTAGCTGTTGAGGAAACTAAGATTATAAAGGTAATTTGGCCAAGATTACATAATAGGCAGGTGACTTAGGACAGAAATTTTAGCCTTGAAATTTAATATCTTTATCTTAATATTTTGTGATTATCTTTGTATCTGATCAGTATTAATCCTTTGGATCAAGTGCAGTGTGCTATAATTGATAAGCAACTTTCAGATCATCTTGTATTTCTGAAACACTGGGCCTCATGAAATTATTCTGAGACCAACTGAGAATATCAAAAGCATTCCTTGTGTCAAATCAGCATTTCATTCCACTTGAGATGCTGGAATCACACATGCTTTTTACACAAACCTGCTCAGGTTGCTCCTTTTCCTCTCCTCATGTGCTCTTAGAAAAATATCTGCCTATATAGCACTCTGTTTGTCTGTCTGTCTCTCCTTGTAAACCTAAATTCCAAAAGCTGATTTTATTTTAGGGACAGAGGTTTTGTCTGTTTCTTTGCTGGCTTGTGTAGAATCCAGCCAAGTACAATTTTCACAAACCGGCCTGAAACTGTGTTGAGCCTCATGTTTTCTCCCTTCCTCAGTAGTGTTGCATTAAAACACATTCCTTCTAGGGTGAGGGCTTCCCAGGCTTAGCGGTGAAGATCCGCCTGCCAAGCAGAGATGGGGTCTGATCCCTGGGTTGGGAAGATCCCCTGGAGAAGGAAATGGCAACCCACTCCAGTATTCTTGCCTGGGAAATCCCATAAATAGAGGAGCATGTCAGGCTCCATGGGGTCACAAGAGTCAGACAGGACTTAGCAAATGAGGAGGAGCTTGAGCTGGGGTGGGGGCTGAGGAGGTGGCCATGCACAGCCCAAAGTGCTCTAGGACAGCCTCTCAACATCAGGCCAAGCATCTTCATAAAATGTTGCACTTGTTATGCTTTTATTATTATAAAAGTACATGCTTGCTTTAGAAAATTTAGGAAACTCCAAACCTCCCCGTTCAAAAAAAATCTTTCATATTCAGTTCCATTCTCTGAATGTTCAATCACTAAGTCATGTCCGAATCTTTGTGACCCCATGGACTGTAGCAAACCAGTCTCCTTTGTCCGCCACTATCTCCCGGAGTTTGCTCAAATTCAAGTCCATTGAGTCAGTGATCCCATCTAACTGTCTCATCCTCTGCTGCCCCCTTCTTCTCTTGGCTTCAATCTTTCCCAGCTTCAGCATCTGCTAGTGCTGACACTATTTTACATAGCCTTCTGGTCATTTGTATATCTTTTCTGCAAAAATGATATAGATGTGTTTTACAACCTACTTTTTATTTAATACTGTTTCATGAAAATGTTCTAACAAGTTTTAAGTGTTCTTATACAGCACCATTTTAATGTCCCTATGATTTTCTGCTACACAGATGCATAGACATGACATAATTTATTCAATGAGTCTTTAGTTTTTGGATATTTAAGCTGTTTCAAAACTTGAAGAATATAAATATAACTAAAGTGAATATCTTTGAAGTGATATCTCTAAGTATTCATGCTAATTTTATAACAGTGGTATCTTTTTATTAAAGAAAAAAAGAAAGTGAAAGTCACTCAGTCGTGTCCGACTCTTTGCGACCCCCATGGACTATACAGTCCATGGAATTCTCCAGACTGGAATACTGGAGTGGGTAGCCTTTCCCTTCTCCAGGAGATTTTCCCAACCCAGGGATCGAACCCAGGTCTCCCACATTGCAGATGGATTCTTTACCAGCCGAGCCACAAGGGAAGCCCATTCAAAAAAAAAAAAAGAGCCATACAATGCTGTGTTTAAAAACTAAGACTTTGACTGTATGTACCTATCAGTTTTGCTTTTCAAGCTTGTATGCTGCAAAACTGTGATGTGTTCTGGGAACCCAGGGGTGACCCTGCCGTTGAGACCATGACTGGGTGGAGAAGGACCATTTAACAATGCCATTGATGCAGTGTTACTTTAGTTGCTGTCATGCACAAATGAAGACTACTGTGGGGGCAGGGAGAATGCTGTTGTATGTGTTTTTGAATGTTGTATATTCTTTTTCCTCTAATTCAAATGTACTCTGCTTTGAGCCTCAGTTGAACCCAGCTGGTCGAGACCCGGTATCTAAGGTCATGGTGGGGTTTGGACTTGGAACAGAACATTTGAAGAGGTCGCTCATGTCTTCACGTTTGTCAGTCACTTTCTGCTCCTTATCCTATCTACCAGGTCCCTTGAAGCAGGGCAGTTCTGTGTGAATCTGAGTCCCTGTGTGTAGAGAGGGGAGAAGTCATGGGTGAGCTGGAAGCCTCCTATGCTGAGAGTCAAGCCTGCCCTTTAAGGCTCTGCTGCTGAGAGGGGTGGAGGGGAGGCTGCTGTGAGGGGTGGCCTGCAGGTCACTAGGTCACTCAGCCCTCCAGCGTCCACCTCCTTCCCCACCAAGCCCTTTCTGCTGCTCCAGGCAGCTTTCCCAGGCCTGTCGCTTTTGATTCCCATACTCCCAGCTCCAGAGCTGCCTCCTCCTCCAAAGCTCCCTATTCCTGAGACTCATTCATGGGTGGCTGGGCAGGAAAGGAACAATTGCTCAAAACAGTAGGTTTTTATTATTATTATTCTTTTAACTAACCAAAGAAAAGCAAAAGTATTACCTTAATTCTTGTCACAATTGCTTTCATTTTAATTTGAAAAATTTGACAATTAAAATGGTAGAAAGCTTATTTTAAAGCATAGAGAACGTTTATTTTAATAGATTGTACTGTGTTTCACAAAAATGGAGCTGTGGTTTAAAGGGAAGATAGATTTAAAAAAACAACTCTTTAAGACCAGCTATGAATTTTCATAAATTGAATTCTGGTATTCTCTCTAAAATAAATCTTTAGAACTACAGTTCCAAGAGTTATCGGCATAAATTCTCACCTCTTATTTAACATTTATAGGCACTAAAAAACAAGTTAAGATAGAAAGGGAACTTTGGCTTTTTGTTAGT